GAGAGAGAGAGAGAGAGAGAGAGAGAGAGAGAGAGAGAGAGAGAGAGAGAGATGATAGTAGGTTATAAAGCATGAGTGTGTGTGTGCGTGTGTGAGAGAGATAGAGATTATAGTAGGTTGCATAGCATGAGTGTGTGTGTGTGTGTGTGTGTGTGTGAGAGAGAGAGAGAGAGAGAGAGAGAGAGAGAGAGGTGATACTATGTTGCAAAGCAGGTTCTGTCTGTGCTTCGCTTATCTATCCTGCCTTTATTGTCTATCCATCATGGTATCATACTATGTTTGCAATATCCGGTGTAATGTGCATGTGGTCTGGCTTTGCGTGCAGGTACGTATACAAGATCTGTCCTTATGGATCTGCGACCCAGAACGAGGGGCACTCTTCTACATCCCTCGGGTAAAGTCACATTTTCGCTTGCGGCATTCGGCAAACACATCCAGTTACCTCTGCTTCATTTTAGGAATCTCTGTTCAATGTTTCAACCTCTTTGATTGGCAATGTGTTTGCTGTTGACTTCATCCAATCAAACATCCGCAGGAAGACCAGTCCAGCACTCTTTTCTGTTTTTTTGTGTAACGTTTTTTTTCTTTAATTTTCTTTTCCGAAAACTTTTTGGTAATTTTTCCCTTCGTTCTTTTTTTTTTTTTTCCGGAACTTCTTGTTGTGGAGAAAGAACATATCGCTTCTTTTGTCAGGTCATGCTGTTTTTTTTTTTTTTTTCCTTCACTTTTTTAACTTTTTTTTTACTGTTAAGGGCCACCAGGAAATGGGTCTCCGCCTCCGATATATTCTACTACATCACTAGTTAATATTCAGAATGAAAATAAAAATTTAAAAATTATTTCCCACTTTCAATTAATGAAATTATCATACTTGCGGCACGTAGGTGAAGTGCGCTGCACAGTGCGCAGTGCGCCAATCCCAGGTGCGCACGCAAAAAAAAAAAAAAAAAAAAAAAAAAAAAAAAAACAAAAAAAAAAACGTGATGTGTGTATACACGCTGGAGAGAGAGAGAGAGAGAGAGCACACAGCCCTTTCACATTATTCAGACAACCCCTGCCGGTACTTCGAAAGGTCCCTACCAAAAATTGGCAAGGGCCCCTTCGGCAGGAATGGGGTGGTCATTGGAATGGTCGTCACTACTCGTAGTAAGGAGGGAGTAGGCCAGCTACATATGGTGTAGCTTCGATTTCAGATCCGTGTTTCAGCAGTTATGGGTTACTGACTTACTAACTCGGCATGTGATTTTGAGGGCTTCACTCCACTACTCACCAAATGTGCAAAACTAGAATGAATCTTCTCCTAGAAACTGGATCCATACAGGCCATACGTTTTTCTTTTCTGCAAGTGCTGATGAGTGGAGCCAGGCCCTTAGGGCCACTGCACGCAAGTAAGAAAAGGAAAAACAAAAAAAACGAGACAGCTACTGTATGTGCAAAACTAGAATGAATCTTCTCCTAGAAACTGGAACCATTCAAGCCATCCGTTTGTCTTTTCTGCAAGTGCTGATGAGTGGAGCTAGGCCTTTAGGGCCACTGCCCTTAGGACTACTGGAGTGTTTGTGGTAAATTCGTAACCCATAACTCTTGGAACACAGACCTGAATCCGAATCCGGGATATATTGCTGGCCTACTCGTGGTCTTCCAGCAGTCCAATGCACATCCTTCCGAATGTTATGGAAACCCTGCTAATTGCTTGCAGGGTACTTTTCAGAAAGGAGAATCAAACCAACGAGAAGTAGGATGAGGCCCCAAAATGTTCTCTTTGTGTACTTACCCTTTTTAAAAGGGAGGGACACTTATGGGTACGACGACCTACCCTTTCTGATTTTTTTTTTTTTTAATTAATTTCTAAATGCGCTGCATCACGTGCGCGTGCACGTGTGCACATGTGCGCTGCGGCGCACGTGCACAACTTGCGCGCTCGTGATGCGCCGCAACTATGGAAATTATTAATTCAAATTTTAAAGTTTTGACCCCCAATTCACCCGAAGCTAAGTAGTGCTTTTACCGGTATACGCTGTTAGACATCTTCGCTTCAGGCCTGGGTCGGCAGGGAAAGCGGCAGGATCAGGCTCAAAAGCCTTGGAAGATAGCTCCGTCAACTTAGGCGTCTGTGTACTGCTGGTTTAATCAACTAGAAAAAAACTCTGTCAAAATGAATCAAAGATTAAATGTATGGGCTAATTCGTATATATATCCGTCTGTGCCGACGGTTTACCGGGCAGTTCTGTTTGACAATATATATATGATATATATGAAATATATATCTATATTGTCAGATAAAAGAGTGCATTTTTTGCAAAACAAACGGCAAAAAAAAAAAAAAAAAAAAAAGCAGGACAAACATGAAGGGCACAGTGAAACCATTCATTTTTATCATTCTTCTTTTGACTCCCCTTTCACCGTGCCTCTTACATACAAGGCTCGCCACGTTGATGAAGTTGAACGCGAGCTGCCCCCATCCCCTTGTGCCATAACAGCCCACTTGTACGCTGTGAGAAAGAGGCAGAGTGAAGGGGGAGGGGATAAACACAGGGAGGAGAGATGGAGAGCAGACAAACAAAGAACGATAAAGGGAAAGAAAGGGAAAGTATGGAGTGTGGAGTGAAGGTGAAGGCAAAAGAGGATAAGAAAGGCTCAAGAATGAGTCTGTCCTTGACGACAGAGCGGACTTACATTGTAAGGATGACGTGGATGAACACATGGAAGACCTAGCTGAGCATTCTCAGTGCAACAATTGCCACAACGGGTGGCATTGAGCATGCCCGCCATACACCCCCGACAAATGGCATGTCGATTGCAGGCCAAAATGAAAGAAGAATGGTCACCACAAAAGAGCATGCATTCAGTATAGCGMYCATGGCCGCAAAATGGACATATAGTGTCCGGATGCGGAGGGTGCCTGCGGTCAGGAACGGTGGGACAGTCCTCTGCACACATGGATGCAGAAACCATGTCATTGTAGTGATTGTGACAGAGACGATGGCGGCTACAGCCGAGTGTGACAGTGTTTGTGCTTGTGCAAAGGAGAAGGTCGCAGAGTGTTGGTACATTGTCTTGCTGCAGCACGGGCCCAGAGGAATGATCTTCGACATAAAAGAGATTGCGGACGGTTTGTTGTGGCAAGAAAACAGCATCATTTTGTAAGAAATCAGTGGCATCAATCATGGCATGGACCATGGTGCCGCTGTCCCACACCTCCCAGTGGTCAGAGGCATGTACAATGGCCATGTAATGGCGAGGGCCGTGCACAATGCAGGCATAGATGTGGGATGGAGGATTAAGCCACTCACCTGCTCGACCATTGCGTAGTTCAAGTTGACCGTCCCTCATTGCTACTTGTAGGACAGCAATGGTAAAGCCTCCTTCGCTGGTATAATTACAATCCTCTTGGCTGTCATTGGGGAAGATCCTCATCAAGCTGAAGGGCGATTGCAAGGAAGTCTGATGGTGTATAAAACGGGCGATGGAGAATATGAAGACAGATATTAGTTGCTGTCAGACCACAGAGATTGGTGAGGTTCTCAGGCTGGTTTGTTGGATGCTGGCCAATTTGCAGATCACCCAGATGGTGTTGCAATCCCAAACTGTGTTGGGTTGTTTGCTGGTCAGTCATTTGCAGATCACCCATGTGGTCTGCGTGTGGCGGAGCACAAAATTGTGGTTCATCTGAACAATGCTGGTCAGCCATTTGCAGATCCCCCATGTGGTCTACGCCTTGCGGGGTCAACCGCAATCCGGGCAGATCATGTTCCCATCCCTCAACGTTTAGGGCTGCATCCTGAGTAGGGACTGTTTGACGATATATAGTTCAGCCTCCTGATGAGTCGGTGAAAGTCCGACGAAACAGTTTGTCACAGCCCCTCGTTTGTTGTCGTCTTCTCCCTCCCCCTCTGCCTACTGTTTACCGGGCAGCTCTGTTTATAGCTTTATATATCGTCGAAACAGTTTGTCACAACCCGTCGTTTGTTGTGCTCTTCTCCCTCTCTGCCTGCGATTTACCGTCTGTGGCTCTGTTTAAAACTTTATATATCGCCAAACAGAGCTGCCGACGGTAAACCGTAGGCAGAGAGGCAGAGAGAGGGAGAAGAGGACAACAAACGAGGGGGGCTTGTGACAAACTGTTTCGTCAGAGTTTCGCCAACTCATCAGGTGGCTTAACCCGAATATGTACATTGTTGTCCTCTTCTCCCTCTCTGCCCCTACGGTTTACCGGGCAGTTCTGTTTGAGGATATAATTTGAATTTCTGTTTGACGACATATGTGACACAACAATAACACAAGAATTCAGCAATTCAGTTAACTATAAATGTCTATGTCCATAATTCCTGTATATGTACACGACAATGGCACACAAATAACACAAGGGAGAGAAAAAAAAAAACAATAATACAAGAATATAGCAGTTCTGTTATCTTTAGCTCCTTTGTCATGAATAACCTTTCGGACACTCGCATTGATGAGAAATTTCCCACCGATCTGAATGTACAGGTCATGGGGCGGATGGAAGGACAACTATTCGAAAATGGTTTTCGAGAATGGACAGCAGTGTTGGAATGGCCCACAAAGGAGTTTGAAGGTATGTGTGCACTCTGTATGTAGTTGACAAGCTTGCAGATTGATGAATCTTCGTTGAAGTTGCTTCGTTGTTGGCATTGTTGCTAACCAGTACTATCTACCGATTTCGCTTCTGTGTTCTTTCTTGCTTTGTTGCTTTCTTGAGATACAATTGTCAAACTGGCCCGCCCAGGCAATCCAGGTTTCCGTTCATTTAGTTCCATTTGGATCCGTAGTCCGGTCTGTGTATTTCAACAGTTCATGGATGTACAAACGGAGCTAAGCCCATCGGTTTACCAGGTTTCTTGCTTTTCTTACCTCAACGTACAGTAGTACGAACAGAAGGCGAGGGGAAGGGAGGGAAAGGGAGGGGAGAAGGGAGGGGAGAAAGGAGGGGAATGTGAGGGGGGAAGCCGAGGGCAGAAGGGGAAAAGGGGAGGGGGGAAGGAAAGGGAGAAGGGAGGGGAAGGTGAGGGGGGAAGGCGAGGGCAGAAAAGGGGAGGGGAGAAGTGAAACGGTTTTCACCTTCTGGCAGTGGCGGATGCGGTACCCAGGGTTCGATCCCTAGACCTCACCCTACCCATGTACAGTATCTGTGTAGACCCCGAGAATTGAACCTGTGACCTGTGTATTCGTAGGCAGTTGGTAGGCCTGTCGTAGGTCCATAGGCAGCAGGGGTTCGATCTGTAGGTCTATAGCGTAGGAGTCTTAGTGAGTTCCGGAAGCTTAGCTGTAGACCTTCTAGAAGGTAGGCAAGTGGGCAAGTGGTCAAGTGGAGAGGCAAGTGGTGGACTAAACCACAGTGCAACATACAGCAGTACAACGTCGGTAGGACAGCGGTAAGTCCACAGTCAGTCAGCGGAAGGTCCAGTCAGTCCCAGTCCGGTCCAGCAAGTACCACAGGGGGACTGTGAGCACTAAGGGCCAATGGCAAAGGGCAGACCAACGAGTTTCGGAAGTATAAATCAAGAGGCAGCGCCCAGCCATTCATTCATTCCTGCGTGAGCCATGCGGAAGCGCTGCCACAGCGACTTGTGCAAGGAGGTCTGCAGATGAGCCCGGAGGACGCAGTGGGCAAGAGAGA